CAGACGTGTAAAACTGGGACAGTATTTCTAAACTTCCTTAGCTTAAATATATTGGAAAGGAGTAAAAGTGATATTCCATGAGGCCACCAAAGCTTTGGAAGAGAGGGGGCTTTTTATTTTGGTCCAATAATGTTTGAATAACAATTTTCTGAGTATAGGATGGATGGAACCTACAAATAGCATCTGATATATCTTCCTGCTGCCATTTTTAATAACTAGAAAAGCTGCTGTCACCTCTCTATCACTATGCAATAAACAAATCCAAAAGGTACATTCAAGATGTTTCTGTACAAAAAAAGTTAAAAAAAAAATTCTTATCAAAAGGATGGAATTAGTGGTGTAGAAGACTATAAATAACAGGCTTGTGAGACAAAAATGTTGTGGTACAATATGCATCTTTCTTCCAAATCCTTGTTTTCAAATGTGTAACTCAGTAAAATAACTCTGAGGATGACTTTTGTTTCCTGTTCAAATTAGTGGTGAACTTGTGGGAGAAATTCTGTTCACTGCCTAAGCAGTGATTGATGCTCACATAATTGTGGTTTTAATACCCCTGGGAGGGATGAAATAACAAAAAAGGAAAGAAAATCAGAAACTATTTTTACTCACTGCTTAATCTTTACCTGATGTTATCTAGCATCTATTTTGCTAGATTTCTTTTACTCAAAATGGTGGTGAAGCTGGCCTAATATGTTTAATATAGTTTATCTATGAAGGGTTTCAAGGAGAATTGCATTCACAATGGAAAATGTTATTTCTCCCATCTCTGCTGTTAATGCTACTCTATTTTAGTATTCACAGTGGATTCTTTGTATTTAACTCTTCTTTGCCCTGTCTTTCTCTGAAAGAATACTTCTCCTAATCACCACATAATGCCACTGTAAGGTCACATTTGAAGAATAGATATTGCAGTGTCTAGAGCTCACTCTTTGCCTAGTCTTGTTAAGTAGCTGGAAATGACCATGTGCCAAGATGAGATTCAGTAGCACTTGGGATGATGTGCATTAACCTGAGTCCATGTAGCCCAGGAAGTGGTCAGTTTTTTAATCTAACATCATAAAACTCTAGAGATTTATGTTTGATTTTTTAAAATTGCTATCAGTTACAGAATGACCCCACCTAAACAGTGCTGAAGCAGGTCTTTTTTAAAATATCAGCCTTTGCTGACTTTAGTTAAACATTACATTCCATTATCCATCTGTTCATTTTCATCAGCAGCAGGAGGTTATTGGTAATTCCCCATTAAACAATGGGCTTTTGCTTTCTGTCATCTGCTTTAAATATACAGTTGGTTGCTGTCACTTCCTTGTGCTCCTGCGCATTTTAATAACACTTTCAGTAGTCTGTCTCTTTTGTTGTATTTGCTACAGGTGTAGTTTTTTCTGCCTAATTCTGCATAATTTCAGCTTTCTTTCAAAGAACTGGAAGGGTTTCTGTCAAGCACTTGAGCGTTGCTTTTGGCCATTTCTAGCTTACGAGTAGTCCACTAGAGCAGTACGTACTTTGAATCCTTTCAGTAAAGCTGCATATCTCAATAAGGTCTGCATGTGATGGGAGAGTAAATTAGCTTAAACTGAAGTTGTTATGACAGAAACCTAGTGCTGCTTCTGGTTACATGTTTCTTTACTATAAATATAAAATATTGGAAATTATTTTCTTCCTGCAGGTGTCTTATTAGTGTTCTAACATTTAGGCACTTCTCAACATAGCTAGACTGTCCCATTTTCTTTTTTTGCCCGCTCCTAGGTATGAAGCAGAACTGAATCCTGTAGACCATCAGAAGGCCAATGTCCTAAAGTATCAAATGGAAAAAAGACCATTTTTTGAAATGCCTTCCCATCTGGCTGATGTAGACTTGGATGAATATGACTATGAAGAGGACTTTGAGTAGTGGTTCCTTATGGTCAACGCTTGCAGAAGAGAAGGGACAGTCTGCAGCAGGTCTGCTACACACCTGTCTGTTTCAGTGGGTTTTGTTTCCAGAAAGTCAGCTTAATTTTGTGCTAAAAATATTAAATCACTACACTACCTTTTAAATCAAAGAAGCGCATTTGTATGGATTGATGAAACTTTTTATATTTATTCAATAGTCTATAGTTTGTAAAATAGATTAAAATATTTATTTACAGATGTTGCATAATTCCTTTTTGGAATAATAACAATATTTGACTGTAGAGAAAAGTAATCTACTGTTTTTAAGAGAACTGTATAATTCTAAGTTGATGTGTGGTGCACTGACCATCTCCATCCCCTGTGTGAGCAGGTGTTCCTGTCCTGCTGAGGGAGGTAAGGAGACAATGTATACCTGGCCTGCGATGCTTCTATGCTCACAGCCAGCCCGAGGATTTTTATGCCTTGGCAAGGAAAAGACATGACTGTGAGTGCATGATTCAGCTCTCATTTACAAGTAGTGTTTCATTTGACAAGCTGAGCATATTAGTGCACAAGGAAAGAGAACGCCTGAGGCAAGTTGCTTCTCTTCTCTGTGTAGTCCTTGTTTGCCCCAACTGTAATTTTTCTTGCCCTTTTAAACTTCAGTCTTTTCATTGATGTTCATTATAAAAAGATTATTTAATAATTAAGTCTGGATTAGTGTTCATACTTCATCCAAAATGAGTGTGTTAATTCATGTAGAAGGAACCAATTTTTTTTAAATCCTTTGTATAAATGTTACTTGATCAGTGATGTGCACTAATTTGTTGTGGGCATTCAGTGCTTTTTGTCTGTCTCCCCCCTTCAGTTGTTTGCTATTGACACATTCCATGGATATTCATCAGTGTCACAGCAGCTTGAAATTGTTGCCTCACTCTTACTGTTAAACAGATTTTGTTGAGAAAAAAAATGTACAAAAAGATGTAAGTTATTTTTTGGTTGCAGTGTAGATCTGTTAAAATGTTTAAAAATCATGTTTGTATTTTCAAATAAAGATTTTCATACATGTAATTTAATAGTTCTAATTATTATATGTACTGGACACAATTAACTCTTACTATTAAAGAACAATTCAAGATATAATGGGTTACAGATGGATGCAGTCTGGTTGGATAATTCCACCAAGCTGCCTTTTCAAAGCAATCAAGCTCTAGCAGGTTTTCACTCATCCAAAAGACAGCATGGCTGAACAGCTGGAAGGGGCACAGAAAAATCTGTTCCATTCAGCTTATGACACCATCTCCTGTGGAGACTTACAAGCCTGTGGATCTTAACTAATGAACCTCATCACTAACAGCTGCTAGTGAGCCTTACCAAGGAGAAAACAAGTCATTCCTAGTACTCTTTAAAGGATTCTTAAATAAAATCAGGGTTGATTATTCCAATTATTTTAATGGAAACTCATCAATGTAAAATTTCTCTAGTGCTGGTCAGATACCTTTCACTCCTTGCCCACAGTTTGGGGTTTTTCAGCAGTGAAGACGGGAACAGAGCTTAACATAAATGCTCCAAGGTGCTGTGGGAAAGGATGACCAACTGGCCCCTTCTAGAAGATGATCCTGAGCTTCTCTTGCTGTCCAAGCAGTGGTGGCCTGCTGCTTTTCCCTACCTGAAACCCTTCAGCTGGAACCCCCCTTCTTAAAAAGGGGCTTATATGTGGACACATACAGCAAAGGGCTTTCTCATCACAGTGACTTCATTAAACAAGCAAAGCTCTGGTGCAGGGTAGATCTCTTCTGCAGAGCCTGGAGCTGTTGCCACTGTGTTTAACAAAGTGCCTGTTAAATCCTGTTCTCTTGTGGTAACCAAGTTCCTTTTTGCCTAAAGGATTTGCACAGCAAATAGTAGAGCAAGTTAGTTATGGCGGTGTTCTGGAAGCGATTTTTCTTGCAGTATATGAACTAGAAAGATTACTGTACCTTACCTTCCCTCAGAAGGATAATTCCCAGCCCTAGTCTTTCATTACATGAATTAAAGCATCTGCATGTTTGACATGGTTCCATGTGCAAGATTTTTCTTAGTCCAAGCCCAGCTGTATTCTGCCTACCTTGTAAGTGTTCAGGCCAAGATCCACAACAATAGATGGATGAGGGAAACATCACCATCACCCTCCTGCTATGGGGGGAGTCACAGGCAAACTGAGAACAAGTTGGTCTGGGGGAGAACTGGCACTATCTGGTGGGGTGCTACCTCTCCCCCTGCATTAGTCTACTGCATACTTAACTATGCAAAATAAAACATAATGGTTTTACTACTGACACTTCAGGATATACCCAATACCTCGGAGATAGATAGGTATCCATGGCTTTCACTTTCCTGGTCAGAGGAGCTCACTTTTAACTAAAATAACAGGGCAAACTAGAACTTTGTCCAGACTTAGTGTCAGAATATCACTTGCACTTTTCAGCACTAACTCATAGCAATGGTTATGTAGTTTATTTTACAGTTACAATCCAAAATATATATACATATAAAAAAAAAAAAAAAGCTGATAGAGTTAATGCAGTGTATTATTCCATGGAGGGGTGACAAAGGGTTAGCAAAAGCAGGCCAGCACCCCTCAGCCTAGTGCTTCTGAAACAGTCTTGATCATTTGCAAATTCTTAATGGAAAAAACTATGTTTGATAGGACATACTTACAATCTATTTACATTGTATTTTCAAGCTTTATCTTTTCCAAGTAAATACCACCTGATCACTGCATATGAAGGATTTCTGACAGAGGAAAATACTGAGTCAACTGGTCCACTGTTTGTTTCTCTGTTACTTAGAAGCTTTGATGTAAGTCTCCTGGGAACATGTCCTGATCCCCACAGACCATGATCCACATCTCTGTAAGCACTGGAATTTAAAAATACTTTCAGATTATTTGGTTTTGCAGGCAGGAAAGGGCACTGCCAAGTCACCTGCCATCACCCAGCAGGTCACAGCATTCACAGTTGCCCAGGCTTTCTCCCCAAGGTCAGGGACAAGGAAACAAGTAGATATCCATCTTGGTTATCTCAAATAATAAAGAATACATCCAGCGGACCCCTGCCCCCGCACCATTCTGGGCAAGCTTGTCTCATCTAGTTTACAAAGTCAGTCACTATTGAGTCACTATTTCTCAATACCCCGATTCCAATCCTTTGGTTGGGAACTGTTCCAAGGCAGCAGCAAAGACCAGGATGCAGCTGAGGAATGACGTTCATAACGCCCACAACCTTAGAAGCACAACAGCCAAATCAGTAACACCATGAACAGCAACGTGGATAAATCAACCACAGTACTAGTATCTAACTGGTTCTGGGTGGATGCCTACAGGCAGAGATTTGACTTGACCCGTATCTCCTGCTGCCTTGATTGATGCCATCACAACCCCATTTTCAGTTAACAATTTGAAGAAAAAAAAATGGGAGCATGTTCCACTTCCATTTATCCTCTCAGCTTCTTAACTGTCCTATACCAGAAGAAAAAAAGATTAAGTCAGTCTCATACTATCAAGAAAACATCACATAAAAGCACATAAGGAATCAGAACAACAGCATCGCCTCTAACAATTTAGCAGCTTGGCCATAGCTGGCTCTTGGAAAGCACTATATTTAGCTTCCACACAAGGAAAGCAGCTTTTCTGTTCCACAAGGAGCCCAGAAAAGGCACTACAGGGAAAGACCACATACTAGCTAAGTAAAGCAGTACATTTTCCATATGGTTTCGATCTTGGTCCACAGATATAAATTATTTTATTCTTTATCTTCAATAGCAGCTGCTCCAAGCACATGATCCAAACAAATAGTCTACATTTTAAAAGGAGTACAACTGGAAGAAAAGGTAGAGGTCCCTTTTTCTTCTAGTCCTCTTTTTTAAAAAAAACAACCAACCAACCAACCAACCAACCAAAAGAACCTACCACTCAAATATGAAAATAAACCTTTTGTTCAGCTTTACAGGAACAACTCATTTAGAAAGTCAAAAAACAGACAAGATCTTCAAATGTGGCTCTTAGATCCCAGATAACCAGAGCCACTAGAAATCCAAGGGTTGCCTGAATCACTGCAAAAAAAACCTGTCTGCCAAACACTGGGTTTACACTCTGTTGGAAGTTCAAAGAGCAGTGGGAAATACAGGAGAAAAACCTGAAGGAGCCGCTCAGCACCTTGCAATGGCTAACACAGCAAACCCTTAGAGGATGGGGAGGGATGTCATAGGCTGCAGCACAGGAAACCTCATCACCTCTTTATTTCCCCCCCCTTTCATTTCAGTACAGTAACTGCTTTAAGACCCATGGTGTCCTTGCACTCCACTGTCCCAAAGAAGGGCTAAAAATTCTCCCCTGCTGCAAGTTTCCATTCCAGGGCTGAGCTGAGACCCAGGCGGACAGCTGCAGTTTTGCCAAACTATTCTCTGATCCCAAAGGCAACTGGTGCTCACAAGACAACCCCCAGGCTACACTGGCTACCACTCCAAGCCCCCAAGGTTCACATGCTTCCCTCCAAATCCCCAGCTGGTTTGGTGACAATTTAATCTCCCCAACAGTCTTGACTGGAAAAGGGCATGAAACAAGGGACACTCCAACAAGAGCCCTGGGCTGACCAGTGATCAGACACATTCTGAGTGTTTCAATCTAAAGAGCACAATGCGAACATCATTTCTGAAGCAGACATTCCCCTGCAGGCCATGCAACAGTGCCATCTCCGCAATGTGTCAGTAACATGAAGCAACTGCAGCAAACGGCTCTTAATCAAGGAGCTTCACAGTATGAGAAAAAAAGGCAACTGGATCCTCCTCAGAATTCACCCTAGCTGGTGTTCAATGTACCTAAAGATGTCTAGCAACAATTGCCTTAAAAATGCAGATCAAGCTGAAGAAGGAGACCACAGCTGCAGCTGGAAAGGGAAGAAGAGAGAACTCCTTTTCTCAGCCTGAAAGGGGCCACAAAAGAGCAGCCTCTTTGCTACTAGATGTGTCCTCATGAGATTCTGAACTCACAGGCACCCACCTCAACTACAGCTGTCCTCAGAGCTGGAAAACCTGAGCCGGAATTACCTGGTCTGCACCAACCACATCAACATCGACATCTTCAGTTGTGTCTTCTGCTTGACCCTCCTCTGAGACATCTTCTTTCTTAATCTCATCTTTGCTGGGGGAAGAAAAAAAAAAAGCTAAGTCTTGAGAAACTGAATAGCAGACGCTGCACATTGCACAAGTGTGCTTAATGCAGAGTAGTTCACATATTAAGATCTAATGCTGAGATATCCACGTAAGGTAGCCCGATGTTTCTGGCCCAGTATTTCTCTGGTATGAAAGAGGTTATGCTCTGAGGAATTTCCAATAAAGCAGTTCAGAAACAAAACATTCATTTTAACAGGGGCTGGATCTCTTATCACCTACATGTTTTAATCATTTTTTGTTCTGGAAACCTGGAAAAACCTGGAAAAGCATGCATCTTTCTGGGATTTTAATGACACCTAACACCTCAATAAATGAACTGTATTAAAGGAAAATATCCCAGTTGAGCACTTCAAGTGCTTTACAGAGCTCAAAAGTAGACTTCAGGTGGCCTATTTCTGCAATACCTCTCTTACATCCAAGTTCTGTGGGGTTTCACTCGGGCCTGTGTGCATGCTGCACACAGAGACACACCTCTCTAAAAGAAAGTCATCAGTTACACAGTAGTTAATAGCAGAACTGCAGAGACAAGAATCCTCTTTCATTTCCAGAGATGCAGAGAACACTCATCTCCAGGGAGTAACTGATACTGCAGCCCTCTAATCAGGACCAGAGACAAGAGAAGTGGAACAGGGACCCCTCCTCATTCCTTGTCTTTATTTCTGCACACTTGATATTAGTCCAAGAAGGCACAGAAGCCCTGTGACAGTGCGGGACAAACAGGCTAAAGCAGCAATTGTAGATATTGGACTGAGGAAACCAAAACCACAATCTGTCCCTGGGACACAGCCCATAAGAAAGCCAGGAGGGGCATGCACCCTGTGCCCTTTGCCCATGGAAGTATCACAAAAAACAGAAGCAGATGTGGATAGACAGACCTCAACTGTCAATACCAGGACAAGCGAAGGAGCTTGTAAGGCATAAAACTCTCACCAGTATCTTCTCTGCAGCCCTCCTGGACAAAGGAATGGCAAATGTTCCTGCAAGTGCATCTCTCGAGACTTCAGCCTCTTTCTGCTTTTTCCTGCTGCAGAAGCAAGCTGGGAAGCACACTGCAGGTCTGGAGCTTTGCTTGCTGCTTCAGTCTGGCTGGTTTCAGGCAAAGACCCTGTAACAGACAGCAAACAGACTCATTCTCCAGCCTCACTCTCAAAGGTCTGGAGACGGACATTTCCCACATGTTCCCCATAGCGCTGAAGCAATAGGGCCAAGCTTAAAGGGATCTGGAGCTAAGCATTAATTTATCGAAGGAACCAGCTGAAAGCCACATAAAAGAAAACCAATTTACTTTGCCCACAGGTCATTTTTGGCAATCTAGATTTATAATCTTGGCCCCAGTCCACAAGCAGTATCAGTACTGCTGAGTCTGTATAACCCTCAAGGAAGGAGGGCCTTTGGGACACAAAGGAACAAGCTTCTGAAGGCAGGTCACTGAAAAGAAAATTGGTGACAAAAGATGAGAGAAATTAAAGAATGCTCCCTTTCCTCCATATACAACTGCACACATCCATAGCACTTAGCATTTTCAGTGGCAATTGGTTTCATCATGTCTTTGCTACATTTAGCTAAGTCTCACCACATCAGTTCAGAAAATACGTCATTATGGATTGGAAGTCCATGAGAGTTGCTAAAGCCTGGATCCAGCCCACTTAACTATAACTCTTTAAGTTAGGTGTAATCCTACAGGCTCCCTAGAAATTTAACAGAGAAAAAGACCCCACAAGATGATCTGGCCCAGATCATCTGGGCTGAAGATCTCAATCACCTTCTGGAAATACCTCTCCTGCCTCAACTATCTACAAGGCCTAAAGCAACAACGCCCTTAACAACTGAAAGCAATGAACCAAGTCTCAATGGCACAGAAAAATGCCAGAGCTCAGTACAGAGCAGAATTCAAAATTATCTGTCTTTTGCTCACATAAAGTCTCCAGACCAACCTTCCTGCTATTGAGTGATGAAGAGGCTTTTAACAACAAAGCTGAAGGCAAAAGCCACAGTTCAAACTGGAAAGTCCACAACATCCAACACACTGTGGTACTGCTAATGCAAAGCACGAAGCGCATTTTTGCTGAGACAAAGCAAATACAGCTGATCCAGAACAGGGAAGTTTTCATACCATTAGACAATTTCCTTTTAAAAGAAGATGTCTTAGATGTGCCCACAGGGAACCACTCTCCAGAACTGCCAAGGACAGAGCTCTCCTCATCTTCATTTGCCAGTAGAGAGTTTCTGTACCAAATCAATGGCTGCCATTCATCTCCTCTGCAAGGCAGTGGTTCTGCTATATACCTCTGTAAGTAAGCATACCTGGAGAAAAGGAAAAGCAAGCATAAGAAAACTCAGTGTCTTTCCCCTCAACATCAAGGGAAGTGATTGCTAGAAAGGTGTTCTGCCTTTACTCTCGAAACGGGCAGACAGAACTGTCGAAGAAAAAGCATCCCTTTTCTCAGAAATATCTGACATCTCTGAAATATCTGGATATTTAAAATGTAAATGTCTTCAAGGTTAAAGAGTTCTTGAATTTTTAACATTAGAAACAACACTTGATTCACAGGAATTAAAGAATTACATCAGTCTCTAGAAATAACTTTCTCTGCAGGAAAAGTCACTGCCAATTGCATGCTCCCAGGAGCAGTCTGAACGGAGCAGAACTCTGTGAGGATGCAACCCTTCTCCTGGTGGCCCTTTTCGGCCTCCTGGACTGTGACACAAAGGAGATCCCAGGCAAAAGATGTTCCTAGTGATTCAATAGTCCAGCAGGTGAGGAAATGGGGTATTTGCGCCATGAATGCCTGTTTTGTCAAAATTATAAGAAAGAACAACCAATAAAACCACTTTTCTACAATATCATCTCAAACTCAATCCAGTTCTCTCAGGTTCCCAATAAAATTTAAGTGTCTGCAAGAAGCAGTTAACAGCTCTGCAGTTACAACAACACACAGGATGTGAGAAACATTGGTTCAAATCCCTGTTTTGCCTGATTCAATCCAGAGGCTTGACACAGGGCCTCCCTGAATGCCAGGTGGAGCTATCAGCTTTTCTGGAGCAAAGAGGTTTCCTTCAAACATTCTTTTTGCAAAACAGGACATTTTTGACAAAGCCCTTCTGATGCATTCTTACTTCACAACAATAAGAAACGAAAAACAAAGTCTGCCTCGGGATTAGAAACTGGATATTCACTACATTTCATCTACAGCTCATCACTTTAAAATTAAGCCCAGTGTTGTTAAAACAGACCCCACCTTAGCAAATACCAGAAGTGACAGTTTTAACGCCAGCCAGTACAGTGTATTATTCTTTCTCTGATTAGCAGTGTGGCCTGGAAAATATCAGACATTTAATTTGCTTTGCAAAAAAAGAACACCAGTGCTGGGAGGAGGTTAGGGTAAGCACTGACTCTGAAACAATTAGAGTCATGGACCCTGGGGGCCCCAGGGATCAAGAAACCCTGGTAATGGAATTTGTTGGTTTCGAACAAGCATGTATTGTAACTACTGTTTTAGGGTCTAATCCAACTGCTATCAATGTCAATGGAAAGACTCCTACTGGTTCAGGAATCAGGCCCTTCGTGCTGCTTGTTATTCAATAATTCATTTCTTGTGTGCATTTTGTGGCACAGAGCAATTGACAAGTCAAGTATTTTACTGCTACAGCCTGGGCAATTACAGGGGAGGAGGTTAAAATCCATGTACTTTGATGGTGTTGAAATATACTCCTTTCTAACAAATGCCCATATTCTGTATCTCATCTGTTACAGGTACATTCACATATGTTAACATACAGACCTAGACATCAATCCTATGATTAATAATAAAAATGAAAATAACCAGATGTTTATTTCTAAAAGTTCATGTTGACCTAAAACATTCCATCCAGTAATTTATGATGGAGCTAAACCTAAATATTTCTAAGAAGAAATACAATCTCCAGCCCCTGAAAGGCATTTTAGGCCTCCCAGAATAGAAACTGTTACTCTAGAAACATAGTCTGAATTTACTTGTAGTCAAAATTGCAATTTCCTCCCTTGTGAATTTTATTGTTTCCCATTTGTTCCCAGCAGCAGTGGGAGGGTCCAAAGCACTAACAACTGAAGTCAAAGAGCAATCGCTGCTAGGTTCTGTATTTCCCACAAAAGTTTTAAATGAATAACCCTACCTGAATGTACCTAATACATTCAGGAATATGCTTCTGGAATATATCCACTGGTCAAGAAATTAAATACAGCCGTAGAAAAAAAAATCATCAGGATTTAGCTTTAAATCTGCTCACATTAATAATGAAATATTTTCCTCTTGCTTAATTAAAAAATACTCAAGATAAATGAAATTACAGAGTTTTTCACGGATGGATTAACAGAAAACTACTTATTGCACAAGTGCCACCACACGATAATAGATCTTTAAAATCCAGATAACACGGACAGAGTTGTGCAGAAACTGTACAAAACCAATTCTAGTCATAGATCACAAAGATTCTCTCAGAGAAAAATCCAAGAACAGAAAGGGAAGTTATCACTACCCATAGATCATCCACTGTAGATTTACCGGAGGTTGTAATCAATATATATCAAATCTTTTTCTTCTATATTTTGCATTTTGTGTTTGAGTCTACTTTTAAAATATATTGTCCATGTAGCTGGCAATCATTAATAAATTGTATTTGTCATATAAAGTAACAGGAACATAGACATTTTACCACTTTTGACCCTTGTTATATAAAAACTGGTTGATGATCCCTGGAAGTTAACCTCCAATTTAGGACAAAGTGACACAGGAGCAAACAAATTACACAGAGCTCAGGAGATATAGTTTTTGAGGGTTTTTTCCCATTTCTGATAACTTCTTCTCCAAAGTGTAACTTTCCCTGTCGGGTACTGGAGTGATTTGCTCAGAAATGCAAAAAGGCAGATGTGTCTTAATGTTTCATCTTATATATTCCCATGTCTTCATATATGCTCTCAGGAAAATTAAAATAGCTGTTACGTATTTTGCAATAGTTTTCACAGTATCTGTAAATAGAAGACTGAAGAGCAGAGGTCCACATCCAAAATAGGCAGCAAACAGAAGGAAGGTCGGATAGATGGAAGAACATTACTTCCTTCCCAAAAATTACTGGAGTTGAGGCAGGTGAAGAAGGCAGTTAAGAGGCATAATCATACATCTCTGTTCAGATGCATAATGTCCCAGGATGCCAAAATAAGGCTAACATTCTTATATTATTAAATGTAAAACACGGGGGCCCAACTGGATCAGGGCATATTCCCCTGTAAATAGTAAATTCTTTAATTTAAATATCCCCATTATGAATACTGTCATGCATATTTTTATTCCAAATATATTGCACAGAACTCATGTAATTCAGTCCTGAAGCTACGGAATTAGATCATTACAAGATAATGATCTGCTCATTACCTCTTCCTCAATCTTTTCTGCTTTACTTTTCTCTTCAGAAAAGCATTCCTGGCATTCCACTAACCAGTGAAGTTGCAGATCTCTTCCACCAAGTTAACACTGTTTTTCCCTTAGAAGAACTGCCACCTGATCTAGTGGAAGATGTCCCTGCTCACTGCAGGGGGGTTAGACTAGATGACCTCCATGGTCCCTTCCAACTCAAACCATTCTATGATTCTACAACATGTGGCCACAACTATGTTTAAAAAAATATCTAGAATGCATACTGCACGTACAATCTGAAATAACTACTACTACAAAATTCTACAAGTGTCTCTCAAACTAACAGCCTCAGGGGCAGATTGATTTCAAAAGTTCTCTGAAAGGCCCTTGAGGAACTTCTGCAACACTGAAGGTCAAGTGTCCCATGTACAATGATACACAAAACACAAACTGTGTACACCTGTACAAGAACTTAACTTACACTAGTCTTTTGTCAGGCTTTAGCAGCTTGTTGGAAAACTCACTGATGATTAACAGAAAGCTCAAGTTAGGAGGCAAGCACTTTCCATCTGCTCCAGTGGCTCCTCGAAAAGCAAATTCAATCCCTTCCCTATTGGAAGCAAAAAATAGAGAGAGAACAGAGTAATAAAACAAACAGCTAACAAAAGCAGTGACCATGGACAAAGAGATGTTACATGGCACATACTTGTGTATCATAGCTACAGATTCTCTAGATTTCACCTGGTCCCAGCCAAATGTTAGTGAAAAGCGACGAGCAAGTTCTTTCATATTTATGAAGGAAGCAGAGGAGATGTCCACACCGCTACTGCTGTCTTGGCTTTCTGCATGTGTCTGAAATAGCTGCAAAACAAGTCTCAGATAAGCAACAATATGTAATCCTACAGGCAAACAAAACACCAGGAGGACACAGGGACATGCACAGCAACAGGCAGCTTACAGACAGAAGCCTTCCAAAAGGGCAAGTAAGTCATATATTTCAGAAGCACATGTCTGGAACAACGACAAAGAACTGACACAAAGGACACTGTTGTGCTTACAGACAGGCACAAATTAAAAAATAATTAATGAAAAGTGATGTGCATACACAGAGAATCGATTCCTGAAGGTGTTGCCTCCACTGACCCCATCTCCTGTTAGGACTTCTCAATCAAGCTCAAGAGGCCTAATTGGCCTGAGAGGCTTTCAGAATATCAGAATGCAGATATAAATCAGCGACTTTGGCAGCACCATAGTCCAATTTCTGAGACTGAGACTGGGTCAAAAGCAAGTCCCGAGCCAAATGAACTATGTTTTAGGTTTTTTTCCTAACAGAACATGGAGGTAGCTTGTTCCCTTCAACCTGTTAAGTTTCAAGGTCAAGCAAAGGCCAAAAAGGGCCTGTTGTCTATGTGATACCTAAACACCAAGTCCTATGTCAGCAGAATATATGTAGCCAAATGCTGCTTAGCCTCATCTAAGCTCAGATTTCAGGGGCTAGTTCACAGATCTAAGCCCCTGGCAATGTGTGTGAAATAAGCAAAGCTCATGTATCAGTACACCCTAGGAGGATCCTACTCTGCAGCTTACAGCACAACCCCAAGCCAGAAGCAGCTCTGGTCATGGGCAGCGCCAGCGAAAGCAGCTGCTAAAATAGCTAACTAGCCTCAGCACTCAGCAGCTGCAAGCCCCAGCAACTAAGACCCTTCAGAAGAGCTGCACCCTACTTTCTTCCAGAAAAAAAAATACTGACAATACTGGGGATTAGAGCTGGCTAGCCACAGACACATTTGGGGTTCCTCAAATTCAACAGAAATTGAGGTAGTCAGTAAAACATGGCACAATGTCCTTAACCTTTGTCAAGGTTAAGAGGCACCTACTATGTCCCAAGAAACACTCTGTAATCTCACATCAATCCTAACCCTTTGAAGGTTAAAAACAAAACACAAAAAAAAAAAATCATGCACAAAATTGCATTTTAAAATGGATGTAATGATTTGAAAGGAGTTTTAATTATGACATGCAAAACCAACATACACATAGAAAGTATGGCCAAGGAAACAATTTCTTCCACTAGTTTTTTAATGAAGTTGAATAATTATGGCAAGGTAGGTAAAAGATTCCAACATGAATACAGCTGTCTTAAGAGCACCTAGCCTCTTGCTTTAACCTTACCTGCTGCAGACAGAGAATCAGTGTCTTGGTACTCTGAATTTTGTTAATGTTCCTGGTCCTGCTTAGCGCTTCTTTAATTATGTCTCCAAAATCATTGTAGGTCTGTGAACAGCAGCAAAACAAACAAGAATTATCATTCACCTTCTGCACTGGGAGTACACGACACACATGACTGTGTTCATGTCACACCAGAAGTTCATAAAACACTCTCAATATCAGAACACTTGAGCTAAAAGATGAAAATTGGACTTTTTATATTATTTCACGTGTAAAGCAATGGTATGCTCCTTTAAGAGAAACATGAGGATTAAAGTTCCACTGAAATTTTTAAGTATTATAGCAAAACCCTCAGGAGAGAAATAGAGAGTCTTCTCTATTTAACCAGTGCTTGCCGTGGGCCCAATGAAGTAAAGAACAAGATCCATGTTCAGGTATTTCCAAAGTCCTGTTTGAAGCTCTACCAGTTGTCTAAATACCAGAACCCATATGAAATCTAGGCCATCTGCATATGGACTTGTGTGGGCTGTATGAAGGTAACTGCTTCAGTGTGAGAACCTTTATAGTCAAAACACTCTCCCAGCCATCAACTGCTTCTCTGCAATAGCCTCTCTGGAGAAGCCGAGGAGCAGATGTTCAGACAGGCATACTCTCTACTCAATTTTCAGTTACTTTGTCTGCAATGAGGTACCTTTGTAGAGCCAAGAGGAGCGTTTTGTCTGACTCTTGCATGACTTTATAGCCCTTTTGTGATTATACAAGGATTCTGCTGTAACATTATTAACCCCATATCTTTCACAAACACTGGAGTCACTTTCAAAACCTAAAATTCACTGATAGGCAAAGCAACCTCATCTAAAACATTACCTTCACATAATGCTTGTAGATCTCAGCAGCCGCAGTCATCTCTACCACATTATACACTATTAACTTGCAATATGCTGCAAGAAGACTCCGCTTTTTGTGCAAGTCATCAAGTTTGCAACTTTCATCCTTTCTCTCCTCCTCTCCTGTCAGATCTAGGGAAACAAAAGCATTGAAGCTTTGTTCTACTACTTTATTCAAGACATCTCAATTTTAATGACCAACTTTCATCCAAATAGCACAGACTCAGCTGTTCAGTCAACATGCTAAGCAACAGATGCTAGTGCTCATTCCTGTGTATAAGAGAAAACACAGGTTTATCTCCATTTCAAAGCTTGCAGCTGATGACAGTGAAAATGAGTAATTTCCAGAGTCTTCTACTCTGATCTTCATAGAGCTTTCACATTTCTGCTAGTCAGAATCTCCTTGTACAACACTGCTCACAGCTACAGAACAGAACCAGAGTGCAGAATAAAAGGCACAAACACACCAAATGAAGAGACCAGACAAATTGCAACTACTTTTTTTTTCCTAGAACAATACTGCTAGAAAAGCAGCACATAACTCATCAGAAACCCTACAAAAGTTGCCATACACTGTCAACAAGAAAAGAGTTCTCCAACTCTCCAAGTGGTTATCAACAAGAGTGAAAGAGAAAAGTCATTTCATATCATTAAGAACACATTAAGTCTCTGGAACATGGGCTAATTACTAGCTGGATAACTTCTGAAAAACAAATACTCTTAAGAGTCTTCCAACACAGCTATGAAGGTGCCTGGGGAGAGCTTCTTGCAGCAGGAGAGCTGAGACACTCTTTAATCTATCAACAGCCAAAAGGCTTCGGTCTCTGACCTATAATTTTGATGTGGACTGTTTCTGCTTCTAGCACGACTGTGGGCCTGGAAACAAACATAAGGCAAGTGACTAATCAGAAGTACTTGCAAATTAGAGTTAAAACTAAAATGGAACAGCTGCCAGCTGTGCACACAGACAAGCACACCCATGGCATGACAGAATCACTCGTTCAGGAAGGAATCTGCAATGGAACGATAAGGATCCTTTGTGGAGAGGACTGAGGAACTGAAAGCATCATACAAAATGGGTTTGAAGCAGATCTCAGGCCATTTAACCCTACACAGGATTAATGTTATCAGTTTCAGATACATAACATATGCAACCTGAAACATAACCTACTTCAAAAACTCCCACAACTAGGATACGACAACCTACTTGAGCAATCTTTTCTATTGTACCTATACCTTTACCAATAAGGATTCTCTTCTACTATCTCCCTATTGCAATTTAGGCCCATCACTTCTTGCATATGCACTATGACCTGAAGAAGCGTTGTGCCTAAAACTGAACACAGAAGTCCATCTGAAGAGCTGAAGGACAACAGTTTGACACAGTAATCTAGAACAATGCTTGGTTTTTCAAAGCATGACGCTTGACCTCAGCCTCAAAATCACAATGAACTAACAATCTATTTTAAAAAAACTCACAAATGGAAACAGCCTTCACAATAACAGCCTCAATATGGCATCTGAATGTGTTTGAAAAAGACAACAGAGCAACAAGTACTATTTCCCACTAAATTTCCTCCACACCCCCCAAATCAAAATCCACTAGTCATTTACTGTGATGGCTTAGGAGTGTCCATGCATTGACAGAGTCACACTGTAATGCTGCAAGGCCTTCCTCTAACACCATAATCTATACCACCAAAGTCAGTCTACCAAATACTTCTACATTCTCACCCACCCCTGCATTACATCAGCCCTTTTCATCCTTACGAGTAAATCAGCAGCTATTTCCTGTGGTTGATCCACAGTGGATACAGATCAGTGAATAACAGGTCAATTTGCTTATAAAGAGGCACAACTGAAAAAACAAACAAACAAACAAAAAACCAAAACACAAAACCACAGAAAAAAACTCTACAAAAAAAAGACCAGACTCTTTTCCTGATACATTCAGTGCAGATGACAAATGGCAGCAAAAGTGGTAGATTGTTTCTCCAGTGATGAGGATGGCTAACCTTTGTTTTCCTCTTCTTGCTCCATGAAAACATGGTCCTGGATAAACAAAAGCAGTTTTTCCTGAAGTGATGTGCTAGGAAGATAATCTATAAGTCCAACTGCTTCTTCGTTATTATTTGAATCCTGATGACTCAAAATCAGCAACCAGTCACAGAGTATCATGAAGGCCTGTATCAAGCAAACCAAACCAAAGAGGGATTTAGAGATCATATTACTTTTCATGCCAACTCCACTTTACATGTCTATCAAACACCACAAGTCACAATCTAGCTTCTACCCCACTTCTTCATTACAAGCTAAAGATTTCTGTTTGCCCCAACATGTGGTAAAATACCACAGCTGAGCCCTTCCAGAACTTGTACATTAGGATACAGTATATACAAGTATCATGCATGAACACTAGCTAAAGATTTTCAAACTTCCATGGGAAGGAAGAAGAGCTCTATTATGCTAGAATATCTCTTTTAACGTGTGAATCGCTGGACAATTTCTCCAATTTTTTTTTGAAGTAATATTCATAGCAAGGCATTAATAAAGCAATGATAGCAACCAGTACACTAATCAGCCTAAACAGAAAACACAATGATTATCAGCTGGCAAATCAAGTCATTCAGATTCAGGCCTTGATTCTACAGATGGACCTATGTAGACACATACCTACGCTTGATTAAAGCACTAACTTTTGTAGCATTTTAACTAACATCACTTTAATTTTCCTTTAAAATAAATAGTTGAACATTTTTTTAAAGAGTTACTCCTCTGCTGAGACAAAAAATAGCAAAAAATCAGTAGAAGGAAATACTAGTATGAAAAGAAAGGCAGGCATTTAAAAGGAAGACAAACCTTTTCTCTTACATCTTTTTCTCTATGGTGGAGGAAGCATATGCAAATCTGACTGAAATGTCTCAGCTCTCTTCTTAGTGCAAAAAGAGTCTCCTAAAAACATATTTAGGAACAGTGACAAGACAAATATGTTAGGGACTATGATTCAATAGAGAACTACAGAAAAAAACAACAGTTGCATCTTTCTTCCACTGATATTAATTTAAGATAGCACAGCTGAGGACATTATGAAAGAAGCTGACATCTCACAGCAGCAACAGCTTACTAGCTATGAACAACTTTAAAACCACGTCTCACTTTCAGGCACAATATCTGGGATAGAAAGGTCAATCCATAAAAATCTGTACTTCCCCCCCACACTCTGCTGCAGAAATGTGACAAATAGTAGTAGGATATGTGCATCTGTCACACTTGCTGAGGCTAGTGGTATTCAGCAAGTCACAAACTCTTTGTTTCTCCATCTGTAGGATGGGCAGCTCTGACAGCATGTATTCTGTTGTTCACTTCAGCTTATCCTTATAAAGCAGTGATAATGATTTCTACTTTAGACATGGAAGTAGAGCCACAGAAGCTCTGGTCCATCCCACCTAATTTTCAGTGTGAATTGCCTTCTGGAGTTGCTCTTCTCTCTCCCTCTGTTGACTACAGAGGGAACACAGTTTAACTACACTGCTAACTTGGGCACTCAGAAAGTTAGGCATCTCTATTTGTTAAGATTAATCCAGCAAGAGCGCCTATTTGATTTGACCACAGCTACATAAAAGACTTTCTGATCCTTCACCAGCTCCCAGCTGTTGCGCTGCACTGAGCTCTGAGCAGTCAGTAGATGAGGAATGCCCTTACAGGAGGGCTGGATTTCATGCTATGCAACTATCTTTACAAGAAAGGGGATCCATTCCAGGGCATGCTGAGAAGAAGCAGACCATTGGAGGAGGAGGGGAGGGAAGAAAAGGTCCTAGAGCTGCTGTCCAGGAAATGTTCTTTTTTGCTCTTGGACATTCTCTCTTAGACAACATCCAGATTTGGCCCTGCAGTGGGCTGTAACATTGTGCTTCCAATCAAAATCTGCTCCCATATGAAAGGTCAAATTAAAAAATGTGCTGCCCCATTATCAGTCAAGCTAACTGTGTCTGGACTGAAAGGCAGAACATACTAGAGCAGAGAGAGATGCGGACATCCACACAGGAATGGAACGGGACGGGAATAGACACTGAATCAGTCACCAAATGGGTAAGCTCCCAGCTAGCATTTCTCACACAAAACAAATGTCCATGTCAGCATCCTGTTCTGTACACACAGGAGCACCAGGGGAAGGGGACAGAATGACAGAAGCAGCAGCACTCAGTGTAGTCAGAAATCATAATAAAGAGGAGCTGCACAGGTACACTGAACCAAAGCACAAAAGAGCTTTCATCTCTGGTGTCTTAAACTAGACTGTCTCCTGAAATACCTGCCAGAGCTTGGCACTAAATAAAAGCAATTAAGAAAGTAAGTAGTCAGCTAAGAGTTACCACTTTCATTCAGCTTTCTGACAGAAATACACAAGCAAAACAAGAAAATAAAATCAAAACAAAGCAACAGGACTTTCTAGAGTTTTCACGGAATATTCTTTGCTGCTTAAAACAAGAAAACAACAAACCATTTGGCAGTGGAACAAGTTCCTTATCTCCATCAAGTCCCAGGAATTCGATGCACATGTTTTGCAGTAAAAATAGAAGTGAACCATTGTTCACTTACTCTCTTGCAGACTGAAAAAGTATAACTACTTTAAAAAGAAAAAAAAAGGGGGCAAGACAGAGAGAAAATGCCTCAATTCAGTTTGGCTTCCTCAAGAAAACACGCAAGTTATCTTCTTGAGAAAGCTTGGATTTTTCCTGGTTATCTGAGAACAGAAAAACAACTTCTAGAAGCACAACCCTGGGTTTCAAAATTATGCAAAGTAGCTAACCTTGGGAGAATTTTCCGAAACTGCAGCTAGTTGCCACAGGAGAGAAAAATACGTGCACTGGAGAGCTGGCAGGATCATCTGCAAATACAAAAAAACGCCCTTTATTTACATTAAAAGCTCAACAGCAGAAAGCTTAGGATTAAACAATGCATCCAAGCCTGACATTCTGCGTGCTGCTTGCACGACCATTTCTGTACTGTATTTAGACTTTAGGTGCAGAAAGGTGCTGCTTCTGCAGAACTCTGACATCTTGACAAGTTCAATGGAAAGTAACCATGTACTAAAAAGGGTGTTCACAGAGGCTAATTTTAGCTTAGCTTCTTGGGATTTCTCTTCAGTCTTTGGTGAAAGACAGACTCCTCCAGAAGGCAATTCAGAGCAGAAGCCAAACCTCGGTGCTCTGATGCTCCATCTAAAAGAGTCCACCTCTACCTACTGGCTACAGGCTCTTTCTACCCAGCTAAATTTCATCCCTTTCCAAATAACCTCAAGTTCTCTCCTGAAAACAGGGGATGATTAACATCCATGACTGCTACAGTACTTCACCTTGTAACCCTAGGATATGCCTCCATCTTGGCACGGCCAACGTTTGAGTTGAGGCAACCAGACAACCAAAAGGCTGCAGTGGAGAAAACTCGTAACTACAAACCATCTTCACCAAGAGTCAATCTGCAAGCAACAGGACCAAAGTATTCCATGCTATCCATAAGGGAATCCTCACAGTCCCAACAATTACATATGTACTGAAAGCAGGACTGTGCAATCAATGGGAAGTACTGAGCATGACAAAGGATAAATCCAGATTTGGATATTACTCTATCCTAGCTTTGGACAACCTCCAAAATAAACAAATCTATGGCCAATTCCAGTAATGTTATACCAAAGACAGCCTCAGTTTCCCAGACTGAGAAATGGAAACAGTATCTTCCTGCGTCATAGGGCATTGATATATAAGATCATTTAATATTTCCAAATTTTTCTGCTTTCAACAAGAAAAACCTCCTTCAATGTTAAGTATTAACAACTCACCTGAACAGGCAAACTCCCATGTTCCATTTCAAACACCAGCAACCTTAAAGTCTTGTCATACAGATTCCAATTAGTGAGGTCATGGGCACTGCAAGTGAAAAAGAAACAATAAAGATACACTAAGCAAGAAATGAAATCTCACCTAACCAAACAGGTTAAATGTATCCTATTTTTGCCTTCATCTGATGTACAGCAATAACTTTAAACAACTAATTATTATTTATAAGGGGGGGGGCCAGAGGGGAGAGGAATGAAATTAAGTTTTTCATGATCTAAAACTGCAACCTTTAGTCCATAGCTTTACAGTCTGCATTCCTACCACAAAACCACAGTGGCATGAGGAGAGGAAAAAGAAGCTTGAGCTCTGTACCTTTTCCTGTACTTTATCCACAGTCTCCAAGTGCCCAAAAAGGTCTCAAAAACAATTTCCTCACCCTGCTTTAAAAGAGTGTTTCTAATACCGTTGAGTGTTCACAACTCAACACTAGAATTCTCTTTGCAAAAACAGAGCAGCCCTAGCATGCAGGATAGGTAAAAGACACATTGAGAAGAAGGCCCAATTACCCCACTCCCTACTGTCTTGCATAATAATTTACTTGGTGAACAATCCCTGGAGAATCAAGGTTTTGAGATATCTATCTTTTACCAAAAGAAGATCAAATAAACTAAACGAAACAAAGTAGATTACATCTGCTGGGGAAAAAATGACTATGTTCGCTATACCCTCTTCAGACTGACCACCAGTGTTGACAGTAAGGTAATGAAAAAACATCCAGCCAGGAGGGAGGCACCACAGAGGATCTCTGTGTCCACTCTGACATCCCAACTCTATAGCACGTACTTCTTAGCCACATTAGGGCTGATGCTTCAACCTCAGTAAGGAGTTAAAAAATAATTCCATATCCAAGAGTACAGTTTTGTTATGAAGAAACTAAACCTTGCAGCATTTCTTATAGGGATCATTTTCATGTGAAAAATCTTACTAAACCCCACAAATGACCAGTTCCCATTTTACATCTGTTAAGTATATACTTAAGTATAAGGGGAAGTAAATTGTGTAAATAAACATCTCACTTATGAAAAGCTGCTACTCTTCTCAAAGCAGACTGCATTCGGGAAATTTCTCCTGCATCCGTACAAAATCCTTCTTCCTAAATTATGAAAGTTTGGGAAAGAGAAAGGAATTAGCCAGCATGGGGCAAGGTAACTGCTATGTTCTCTCCCCAACCAACCTACAAGCTTGAATTACTCTCCTTCAGCCCTCCCCAGTCCCTTCACCTTTAACCAGGCTACTCATATCTTCCTCTACAGCAAAAAGAAAACAACACATTGACTGTACAGAAATTTTGTATAAGGAAATGTCCCTGTCATTAGTAAGCCCACAGCAGCCTCCCTAGACTACAGTATTGCTAACACAGAGTAAAAAGTAGCAATTAGACTAACACAGAAGTGCCAACCCTCAGACTCACAGGCCACTCATGGTCTCTCACATAGTTGTTGGGGACCTCTGGTAAGCTAACTGTTCACATGGTGCTGACTCTCCTTGCTTCCAGCTGCCAGATCACATTCAAAGATAGCTAAAAATATATTAAATACTTTCCCATAGATGCAATTGCTGTAGTTTCCACAAGTATACTACGTGATTATGGGAGATGGTATATACAACCAGGAATTAGAAGGGAGGGGTTCCAGGAGAAAATCTCTTTATTTAGATATGGATCAGACTATGAAGGAGTTGAAGAATCCCTGGTCTAGCACTTATCTTGTTTCTCATTAGTACACATTCTCCCACATTGACATAGATATCTATTTAAGACTAACAAAATAAATCCAATCTGAGGTTAGGGGATTTTTTGGCTTGACACATTTTACAATATGCCAGTGTCCAATAAAAACCTGCCAGTGTTAACTCTCATACCATGGCATGACACCTGTTCATGACGGCACAGTTGATCAGATCAGCTGCGGGCTTCTGTTGTTCAGTTCAGCCAGCAAGCTATTCATATCACCACCAGCTGTTTCTGCTTTTTAGAACTAATGAAAAACTTTGAGGGAGACTCTGCAGTCCTCCTTCAAGGGGAAAGTCATAATTTAAAGGACCTCAAAGCTATACAATCTGCATTACAGACTGCTGTTTTGGGGTTTTTTTTCTAGTACTATCTCTACAGACAAAGCAGCAGCATGAAGGGCATCTTGTGTACAGTCAAATATGTAGAAGTACAGAACTATACATTTTTGGAAACAGTCTCATCACCTATACATCCACAGCACTTCTTAGCTGATCTTGCACATAGTATCTTTGATACAGTAATGGAGTAACTGGAACAACTATGGAGCTTAGGTCCAGAATATTCAGAAGACATAAAATGCTCTGGTGCTGGTGTGGAATACCTCATTTCTTATTTTCCCCACTCTGTTCCTGACAAAATACATCTTGCTTCACTAAAATGTAAGCAATCAAACTTTTCAGAAGCACAAACTCATCTTTGAAAGCTCCACTCCCCTCAAGCAGAGAAACAGCAGACAAAGAATAGTTCCATATCCTCCTTAATTTCTCAGTTTTCTTTTTTCATAGGGAAACAGTCTGTTTATCTCCACAGTGACTCACACTCACCTTTTGCCAGAAGCCATCTAGTAGCTGGTTAAGCTGCCCCATCAACTCATCTATCAGTTGAGTTCGGGCACAATCCACCTTGCTGTAGATGGCAATTTCTTCACTGCAGAGGATATAATAAGTCCTGGAAGAAGCCTCAAGGACAGATATGTCAGAGTGTTTGGTCACAATGTCTTTTATCTCTCTCAGCAAAGCATCCAAATGCTGCAAGTTATAAAAGGGGTACTATAAGTAAATTGCACAAAAATCCACTTATGCTCTCATTTACATTTCACTAGGTCAATATATCTCTATAGGTGATCCAACCAACATGACATAAATGCCAGTCTAAGGATCAGAGGTGCAGGATTAGGGGATCCAACTTTTTTTTCTGAGTTTATAGCTATTTTTCATTATTATTGTCTCTGGATCTTCCTAAAGAATGAAGCAACTGCTTTAAGTTCTGCTTTAGCAATACACGTTTGGCACTACATAAAAATAAAGACAAAAGGTTGGGAATAAAAATTGCCTTTCCAAAGAACAGGTGTGTCTTCAAACAATGGAAGCTGTGTCCCTCAGGAGCAGAGGATGGAGAATTTTTCAGATCATGTCAGCAACTGGGGTCTTCACTCTTACTGAGAGGAGGTAACTTCTGCCATTCTGCTGAATCTCTCTCTTCCCGTTAATATTTTGTGTTGAAATTAATCTAGGAGTGTTTGCCTAACCTCCCTGTAAACATCCCTGTTTAAGAATACATTAAGCTGTTTCAAAGATTTAATTTATCCATTTCTGACAACCCCTCTCCCATCAGCAGAGACATTGTCTCCATTCCTATCTTTCAGTTATTATCATTCCCCAGCAACTGGGAGTCAGTCTTCAAGGAGAATGAAACCTACTCTGTAGTAAACTCCTGGGGGACACCAGCTTAGACACATGGCATAACCCACCCTCTCTCCACCCAACAATCAAAAACCCAGGGCCAGGCCTACCAGATGAAACCACACATTTTTATCTGCCAGGGCCAGTCACAGCATATCAGAACTGACAAGCACTAGGGCTTTTCTTTGGCAGCCCCAAATCAAAAAGTAAAGCCTGAATAAGATCTCTTTCCCCAAGGTTTGAGACCATTTCTTTATATTTCAACAGTCCCCTACTTGTTCCAAGTCCCACTAAACTCTGTACATTGTCACATAAATTTAGTGCATTCCACATGAACCCACTGCCCCAATTCCTATTCACCTTCTCTAGATGTCCCGTACTGTAAACATCTAAATCATAATACTGAGGAATCTGCAGAAGATTTGCCACTTTTTGTACATCTGTTGAATACTGCAGAGAAAAAACAGGATATGAGTACACTACAGGAATTTTAATGAAATATTTAACATGCATTCACAGAGCAGCTGTTAGTTACCTTTGCCAAGAGCTGAGGAAGCACCATAATAAAGTGTTTAGTAATTTTGGTACAATCTTCCAATTGTATTTTCTTCTCTTTTACTGACAGAATCTGCAGATAAAGCATTTTGTTTCAATTACAAAATCTCTTAGATTTGAGTGAAATTCTACATGTAACCTAAGGTTAACTCACATGCCTTTTTCTAAAGCATATCAAAGAGAGATAAAGATACTTTTCCATGGAGACAACCAGATGCCTTTTTATTTTTTGTTAACCTTAAATTAGATGCAAATTGCTGAACAGCTATATCTCATGGATAAAATGCTCACCATTTGTCAATAACATGCTTCAACTGGCTTTCCTCTAATGCTCATCTCCTTCAACATCCACTACTAATAAGATCTAGAGGTCAAAAGACATTGTGTCATTTCATAAAAAGATGCCCTTTTATTTCAGAAGATATACCTACCACGAGGAACATGCTGTCTGGCAAAGCACATGAGGCAAAGAGAATGTGATTACAGGACAATAAATAAGACTAAGATGCACTGACTTTTTTGGCTGCACCTCTGCCCACTGGAGGATGACCTTCAGCTGCTTCTCTAACCGTTGCGAGGATAATTTCAATGAGAGCACTTGCATGGGCATCACTCAGTGCTGTAAGTAAATCAGTCTCCTTTCAGCATCACACAAAAGAAAAATGAAGATGCAGCAACAACTAATGTAAAGCCTACTTATTTATCTGAGCAATTGTGGAAGAACACTACAGAAAGAAAGATGCAGTGCTGCTAAATAAACACCTAAAGAGTGTTTGATTTCATTAGAAGAAAATTATTTTGTACATTTACTGAACACAGAAACAATTATTCCTCTCATGGCTAAACTTTTTAGGGCTGTTTGGCTCCCAAAAACACAGGCAGTTTTAACGAGGCCTACTCCTACTGACTACTATCTCATTTAGGACAAACCTGCTTCTTCGAGTATCAAAATGCTTTAACTCACTGGGTCTACAAACTTTGATTTCAAACACATAACCACCTCCAGTTCTACTACAACAACTATTCATGGAAGCATAGAAGGGTTTGGGTTGTAAGGGACCTTAAAGATTTCTTTAAGTTCATTTTAAAATAATTCTACAAATAAAACTAATCCTCTAGAGTGTTAGATGTTAATGAACTCAACACATTACTCATTTTTTCAGGCTTAGCCCAACAGTACTCACTTCAATCAATTAATACTTTTAGATTCTTACGTTTTGGACAAACAAACAGAAGTGAATGCTACGTCAGAATTATGGCTTAATTATGCCAGTATTCCTGCAAAGTTTCTAAACTAACATTACATAAATACAGAACACTGAATAAAACAAATATGCTGATATAAATATCACATTGGCAATGGATTGAGTTGCATCTGCTTGGTAGCCCTTGGAGACCACAATTTGGGATCAAAGTGTACTGCGATATGGAATGATCCTAAACTAGCTGAAGGCAAGGTTCAAAAGAACAATATCAAGAAACTCATTAGGACAAAATTAAGCTCTTTGCTTACCCACCTTCTCCATCTTCTTCAGCATCTTTTAATAGAAGAGTGGTCATGCACTCCCAGTCCTTCAGGAAATTGCCTGCCCAGTCCCACAAGCTGTCTATGAGGTATGTAACATGTTTGTGTAGCTAGGGATTAAAAACACAAGCTTATAGAAGTAAACACATCACTGAAAGAAATATAGCTTCCTATGTTTCTCTCCCTTTTTAAAATTACAAAGCTTTGCCATTCACACAGGTATTCACATACAGGATTCCAACGTATTTAGTTTGAGGCTAATCAACATTTAAACACCATGTCTTCGATCTGATACAAAGCAGGAAAGTGGGGAAAAAAGCAGGAAAAGTAGGGAAAAAAGCTTTTTTTTTTTTTTTCTCTCTTTTTCGGATACTTCTCCATTGTAACTTAAGTAATCTCTTTAAACGAGCTTCTGTATTACTTTTATATTGCTGATCATAACAACTGAAAACCCAACCTTGGGACTAGAAACTAGTCGACATTTTAAGCGATGTCTGAAATTCTTTGTCAAAAGATTCAAAACTGCTGTGCCTGAGACACTATGGCCAGACGTAGGTCTGCACCACTGCAAAAGCCACATAGTGAAGTACAGCACATAAACTGATAAAACTCTCAGCAAAACTATGCAGTTCTTAGTCAGCATAGAGCCATAGTACAGCAACCCACATCTGCCTGCAGAAAGACACCGACACATACCAGAAAACCCTCACTCAGTGTCATTAGTCTTTCCAGTTGTTTTCAGAAGCTGCTTCAGCACTGATTCTCTCCATTAGCATAGTTGTAAATGAGTTTTAAAACAACAGAACAGAAACGTCTTCATTAAAAACTCATGCCAGAGAGCAAAAACATCCCAAATCAAACACTTCTGAGCTCACTGCCAAAAACAGTTTTCAAAAGGAAGCTAATACTTCATTTAACATGCAACACTGGATTTAAAAGGCTTACTGCAGAGGCTATTCTCCTCACCTCACTCTCCAGGAAAAAATGTATTAATCTTTTCAACTGGTCAGTACTCGCCCCAAACTTCCCTCCTCCTTTGGGCTGAATTTCTTCATCTCCCTCATGACTAAGCAGCCTGCCAACAGAAAAGGAAGTCAGTCCACTTCTGTCACATTCTCCTTATACTCATTTGCCAATGTAACACAAATTCTGTCAAGATCCCAAGGACTGCATTTCTTCTAAATGGCTACTTATTTACTCCAAATCACATTAGACATTTTTATCAGATCAAAGGAAAAGAGATTAGATTGTTTTCCATTATGAGAGATCTGCTATCCCTGTGGATGCAGACTATTTCTGACAGTTTCACAGGTACCCTGCCAGCTTTCTGGACAACAGATGCATATTCCACAGCACTGAACATATGAGTTAGGCATTTGCTCATGCTTGAAAAAGGGCTTCCCTTGGCTGCATTTAAACCTTAACAACAGAGTAGAGATATTACTACTCAACCATTATTCACATCATGGTACATTTTGGAACTAAAGCTTCTTAAAGAATGCATAGTATCTTGTATTTATAAGAGGCAATTCACTCAACTTCACAAATACAGTGGAAAAACTGTTCTTCCTCTTCTACCTCAAGCGTGAAGCACAATATGACACATCTCAATTTCCATTTCCCTCCTTATCCAAATTGAGCAGGACTGTACCACTCATGAAAAGCACTAATCTCCAAATAAATACAGAAAGGCCATCCTCACAGATTAAGGGAAGGCCCAGATGGCTTGGATTTAGGAGCAGGACCACACTACTTAATGTCAGTAGAACCTTATACCTTCAGAAAGTGCTTCTGCTAGTATAATCTATGCCAGTTAAGTAAGTAACCTAAGTTAAAAATGTGAACATTGAGGAGAATTCGTGCAAACCAAGAAGGGGGTAAAAAAAAAAAAACAAAAAAACCACAAGCTTTTATACCAAAACTTTTGTCAGTATGTCCAGAGAAAGGAGGGTGTCACTGTCATCTCTATCACACTAGAATGAACATTTCTGTGCTGTCAAAGTGCCAAAGAGAAGAACTGGGCAAACAAGAGCAAGGATGAGGATTACAGGGTCAAAGTGCACACAGTGCACTGGGAAGCTGGGCAGAAAAAGTAAAGTTATCAGGGCAACCACTTAAATGCCAAAAAGCAGCAGTGTTCTGAGATGAAAACCACCTGATTTATGATAGAATATTAGGACCAACACAAAAGACTAAGTAAGACTAGCAGATGTGATTGAAGACTCATCAAAACAGAAATTTATCTTCATTTGTCTTTCTGTTGGACTTGGCTCCACAAACCCCAGAATGTCAGCAGTTCAGATAGACAGGAAGAGACAGGTAGGAGGAGATTCTGCACACGTGAAAAACACAAATCATTATTACTTCTGATTTTTTCCCCACAAAAGTATTGCCAAAATATTTTTATTTTCATTCCTCTTTGTAAGGCAAAATTATTTCTCTCAGCCATGGAGACAGAACATTTATTTCTTCTCTTTTTAGCACGCCAACTCCATTCACTTCATGCAACCATTGTTATGAGAAGGCCATTACTCGTGGGGAAGATAAACCCTGTACTTCATTAACGTGACAGAAAATTGGGAGGATTTTTTAATCTGCTGCATCTCTCATTATTCAAAGCCTTTACAATGTATAAGGCAACTTCCAAAGGGAGGAGGCCATTTTTGTGATTAATCACCAAAGCTAGGGAAATCCAGCAGATGCCAGGTGATGAATTAGCTTGTAAGAAGCAAAGCAACAGGAAAAGAAAGTAGAAAGAAAGGAGGTATGCTCTCAACATAGCATGGCATATGTGGATCAGTCAGTTGTTTCATATTCTCTGTGTTAGTGTTGCAAGTTTTCTCATGCCTATTGTGCCAGGGCTGTGCAGGGGAATAAATTATTACCCCCAGACAGCATTTCTCTTCTGATTCAGCACAAGAAAGCACATCTACTATCCTTGTGGTACACACTTCCAGCATAAAAATGAATGTTTAATGTCCCTCTTAAATAAATCCACCTTCATTCTGCAACAAATGAGAATATGCAAGAAGTAGGCATGCAGGCAGGCAGATACCTGTTATAAAGGAATTCCCCAGCTGCTACTGCAAGCGGACGATGTGTGGTATAAACAAACTGGTATAACATTTCGCAGTCTTCAGTTGATAACACATCCTCACAGTTCCTAGGCAAAAATAACAACAGAGGTTATAGTTCAGGTTTATCTGCGAAGAATAATAGGAATGCTATGTCCAGCTTTTACTAGACCTGATTCTCCATAGCCACGCAACTTGTTTACACAGCTAAATTTTTGTAGGACATATCTAAAAATGCTATCAAGCAAAATCGTCAGCATTCTTTTACTCACTATCTAGAGAAGCAGATAGCCATGACAAATCAGGCCCAAAATTTGTATTTTGCAATACAAATTATTTTTCAATTATTTATTACAATATTTTTAAAACCTATATGCTACTACACTAGGCTTGTACAGAGTCACATGTAAAAAGAAATCAAAACACATTCTTGATAGCATCTTTATGACTGTGACCTTTCTGTGCAAACACACTCAAAGTCACTTTTTTTTTCATTCAGCTACACATCTTGAGAATATCACATGCTGACTAGTAAACCTAGAAAAGTCTATGAGAGGTAGAAATAGTATTAGTATCAACCTTTTACAAAAAGGTAACTGAAACATCAAGGTTGAAAAACCCACCGAAGAGATACCAGAGGAGTGAAGCCCAAAACAGTTTCAAAAGGCCAGCTTCCTCCTGCTATAGCAATATCCTTGTACTAAGCTGCTTCAGAGAATGAAAGAGCAACATATGAGATCCTTCCACTTACTAGAGCCAGGTGAGGGTAAAGGCTTTTTATTTATTACTGTGCTCAAACCTCAGGTAGCAAGTTTAAAATGATCTACAGCTGCAGTTCAATACCTTCTCTAAAACTGAGGATTCATGCTCTTCAGTTGCTGGGAGTGATGTCTTACAAAAATTTGCACCCCTTCCTGCGCTTGCCCATTTGTCTCCAATCTCATCGCATCCTTTAGCATCCTCACAAGTCACAAAGTCCCAAAACATCCTCCAACCTGACTGAAAAAAGTGAGCTCACATTAGGTGAGACTCTCAGTGGATTATCTATCACAAATATTTTAGCACTGGCTAGGATTTAAAAGTAGTCAAGTAAAAAAAAAAAAAAAAAAGGACAGCACTCATTTCTCAAACCCACTAGCCTGTGATTGATAGAAGCTGGTACCCCATGAATTTTATATTTACAATGCATTTACTCACACAGCACTCTAATTTTTCAGTTTTTCTGTGGTTGCTTACACTGGTCAGTGGAACAGTATAAAGATCTTTAAATGTAGAGCGTGGAGACAGTATGCCTCCAAAAGTGATGGGTCTCTTGCAAGATAAACCTTGCCTTCAACCAAAAAGAAAAGCTGCCTTACATACTTCAGGCAGGTTTTGGTTGCCTCTTTTAACATGCAGTTCTTGAGTATATATATGCAGTAATAGGACAAATAGAAAGTCCTCTGAGTGTATATATATCATGTAACTGGTGTAACAGAAAATATTTATGTGACTCTTACTCAGCCAGCTACAGAACTGGGGACATAGAGTAAAAATGTGCTTATTGATGTTAAACAGTAAGAAACTGAAAGAGTTAACATGGTGCACCAGAGTATATGAATAAGCATTGCTGTTTCACGTGAAGCCCTAACTGAAGTATCAAGTTTATTAAACTTTACAAGTTTAAGGAATGAGAGCAAAACAAAGACTGACAACAAATTGCACTTACAGGAGTGCAATGGATGATATAGCAAGTTTGTATATTAAAAGGCTATGGGGAATTTACCGACATACACTAGCAGTCTGACAAGGTTTCTTTCATTTTTTTTAATACCCATCTATTATTTAGCTCTTTCAGAGCACTAGCTTCTATGAAAATCTCCTTGTCATTTCCTCCATACACACGTATTTTTAAAAAACCCAAACATGGACAGCTTGAAAAAGAAACATTTCTATACAAACATACCATGATCTAGAGTAAACACATGATCACAGAAGAGCTGAGGATGGACAGTACCTCCAGAAATCATCTAGTCCAACCCCCTGTTGAGAGGATGATCAGCTAGAGCCGGTTGCTGAGGGTTGTGTCTAGTCAGGTTTTGAATATCTACAAAGTCAGAGATTCTGTAACCTTTCTGGCAACTAGTTCCAGTATTTGACCACACCCACAGTAAAAACTTTTTCTTATGCTTAAATGGAATTTTAGTGTACATGGTTTTTTGCATGTGAATTTTTTATTCTTTATATTTCAGGTTTTCTCTTCTAGGCACATTTATGGAGACAGTGAATGCAACACCTGTGTGCCTCTATTTTAAAAACATTCCTTGCCTAAATCGTTCAGATAGCTTGAAGCACACAGAAGCATGCCTGCCATCTCTTTGGGTAGAAATTAAAGACTCTGACTTTCCAGCACAAATGAAATGGCCTTCCCTTAGAAATTTCCTTTCCTTAGAAAAGGACCTGTGAGTGTTGGTGGACACCAAGTTAAACATAAGCCAGCAAATGTGCCCTTGCAGCCAAGAAGGTTAATGGGTGTCCTGGGCTGCATTAGAAGTGCTGCCAATGGGTCAAGGGACGTGATCCTTCCCCTCAGCACTGGTGAGGCAATACCTGGAGTTCTGGGTCCAGTGCTGGGTTCCCTAGTATGAGAGACATGGACACACTGGAGAGAGTCCTGCAAAGGTCCATGAAGATGATTAAGAGCCCGGAGCATCTCTCATGTAAGGCAAGACTGTGAGAGCTGGAACTGTTCAGCCTGGAGAAGGCTCAGGGGCGATCTTATCAGCATATCACAGAATCACAGAATGTTAGAG